AATATATCTAACAAGAGTGAAAATTGTATGCAAATCAGGAGATGAGGCTGCCGCCAATGCCAACAATGTCGTTATCAGCCGGAGAAGAATTTCTCTGAACATAACTGCTACCACCACATTGCTTTTAAGTAATTTGGCGGATGCTTATAAATTAGGTGGTTGTTATAAGGCCAACGCTGCTATTCTGGAGGCCGATGACGATGAAGAATTACTGGAGAAGGTAAAAAAAGACAGGAAAAAGAGGCTTGAGAAACAAGGTGTTATTGGCTCGTCAACTACCGAAACAGGTCCAACTCTTTATTTATGTGATACTGGTAGTTCTGATTGATATGCATGTATACTTGTACATATTTGTGTGTTATAATATAGCCTGTATGTATAATTATCTATATTTGTCTTTATGTATTGTAACGTGTCCATAGTTCAGATCCACCTACTCTCCAAAGAGAAACGTGGTTGATGATATTACAATCGTGAGGAGTTTGACAATAGTGTAATTTCCTTCTACCATTTTGAAAAGTTTCGTTTGGTTATATGTATATATATTTGAAGAATTATTGGTAATAATATTTTGAAAAATCTGAAGTTTGACTTCTCCATATGACGTAAAAATATTCTTTTTACAACAACAATGGCACAACCGCTACCAAAACATTAATAATAATTCGAGGGAAGTTGGGGTGGGGAAAGGGAGTTTGAAGAGTTAAAAGCTATTAAGAATTTTCATTTTTTTTCGCTTCTCAATGTCCTGCTTCCAAATCAAATTAAGTGTTCATTCTTGGAATAGCTATTCATAATTGTTCTAAACATTAAAACAAGACAGCATGGGTCAATTTGTGCTTCTATGTACTCAAGGCAATGGATAACGTATTGGGCTAAAAACCATATGTACAAATGAGTGACGAAGAAAAAGTTTCATTATGTTTTTTACACATATACTTATCACCAAGGACATATTATTTGAGTTTGTTTGTATACACTAGAAAATGGACTAATCAAGACTTCATTTTTGCCTGAGCTCTGATAGAATTTTTAAAATTATTATTTTGATGTTGCAGCGTACCTGCAAGATCTTGTTTATAAACTCAGTGAAACAGGCCAAGCATTAGAAACGAATGATCTTTCAGCAGCTTATTCAGTGCTTGGTTCCAGCAAGGATACTGAATGGGTCCAAAGAGCGAACTCTGCCTTGAACAAGGTGGTTAAAATTAGACAGTTTTCACATTTAATTTTGGGCAATAGATATCCAAATGCAGAGCTGAAAGTCTTGTTCTCATGTCATCATTTGGCTATCTAATGGTTTATGTAATTTTCCGTAATTTTCTCTCTTTCTGTCTTTCATTCTTTTTTTTCTCTCTCTCTCTCTCTTTTTTTTTTTCTCTTTTTGGCTGTCCCCTTGGGCAGTTGAGCTCCAGTAATGAAGAGAAGACAGAGGTCGATGCCTTCAATTCGTCACTGGTCTCATTAATCTCATCAGGTGAGGTCATTATCGGCAACAAATTAAATCGTCAAAAGTTTACCAAATAGAATACTAGTTGGTGCAAAAGGTAACACCATCCAATTATCCTTTGTGACATGTTTGGAGTTTGATTTACAAACAACGTCTATGAGGTGATACTCATGAATTCCTAATAAAGCATTTCAAGAAAATCATACATGAAAAACCAAGTTGCACACAATCACCTGACAACTCGATGAATTGTTCCAGAATTGGATATACTGTAAAATAATATTTCACCGTTAATTAGTTTTATACGTGTTGTCTATCTATTTTGAAACAATGGTATTTTGCAGTGTCCGGGAATGATATAGAAGGCTCAAAAGTAGCGTTCGTGTCATGCGCAAGTGCTCTTGAGAAGTGGACTGTGCTGTCAGGTTTGGTGGAACAGTTAAAAGGCCTTTGAAGAAGAGAATTCCTCATCCAGATGGATTAATGGTGACTCCCTTAACATTTTTCTGTATTGGGTTAGCTTTTGTTTATTTGTTTTATTTTGGAAGTCTCCTCGGGAAATTATCTGTTATGTTGTTTCTCGCTAGTTTTCTCAGTGGAACAGCTTAAAGAATGTGTACATGAAGGCAAAGATCTAGAGCGCGGATGTTCTCTTTCTTGAAAAAATAGTATATTATTAATTCATTGAGGGAAAAATTGGATAATTTATGTGGTGACTGGTGACTTTACTTTAGTTCATTTCCAATACTTACTTCTTTCTAATGTACAATTTACTGTATTCTAAAGTAGAATTAAATTAAAATCAAAATCCGACTATAACATTCGATTGTACTATTTAATATTCTATTTTTATTATCATTATTTTAAACTAAATTGAATGTAAAAGAACAATTTAATTAGATATACTATTTTACACATTAACGGTTTGCATTCATTATATATTTTTTAAATATAAAAATGTAACCTCCATTTAATCAATTAGTAAAAGTATAAGGTATTATTATTAGAATGGGAAAGTTGTGAATTACAGTAAGTTACCATCTTTTTTAATTTTATTTTATTTTTTAAATCTATTTTTTAAAGACTCATGCTGATAACATGTTATAAAAACTAGATAAAAAAAAAGAAAATAATAGAAAGAATGTCTTCTTTTGGTTGAATTTTTGTTATAATTGTTTGTTTATAGGAAAACCCAAGGTGTCACAATCGTGTAATACAATGACGTCCAGGGCAAAATAGTCATTAACACCTATTGAAATAAATATAGTAGGTAAATAATAAATCTAAAACAATCTCATGATAAATTAAAAGTTCACACACGCGCGCACACACACACACACACATATATATATAAAAGGATGAGCTCCGATGAGAATGATGGTCAGTGAAAAAAATAAGAATAAATTTTAATCATCATATTTGATTATTCAACTGCTAAAAAAAATCCAAAATTGTCTAATATTAATTTAGTTATTAATTTTTTTTTTTTTTTNAATTTTTTTTTTTTTTCTTTTAAAAAAATATGGAACTTCAAAGGTATACTATGGAAAAAATTAACATGTATTTTTTTTATAAAAAAAATTAACTTATATCAAAAATATTTTGTAATGGATATATGAGAACAAAATAAATAAATAAAAAAAACTTAAAAAAATGAAGTACTACTACAAATAAATCTTGCAGCACAAAAAAATGAAGTTTCCACATAATGAGGGAACCATCTAAAATAATTATTGTTTAGGCGCGAGTTTTTAATTATATAATAAATAATTTTATTATTAAACAAAACAATCAAAATGAATGCTACCTCAAAAGTAATTTATTTTATTAATTAAAAAACAATTAAAACAACAATACAAAAATATAATGGTATCAATTAATATTATGTAAATTAAAAATAATTATTTGATGATAACTGATTTATGCAACTACTTGAATATTCTATCACTACATCAAAAAAAAAAATGTAATATAAAATAAATTAAAAATCAACATTAATATTGTGGAATAACTATTTTTCAACACGTTATTTAAGTGAGACCCGCATTGTCATGCATTAAAACAAACCATCATTGCCCTATTTTAAAATATAATAATCAATGAATTAATAGATTGAATAATAATCAATAATAAAATATTGATGATCAATACGCTATGGAAGCCTAAGATAAATTATATAGATACACATGTTAGTTAAATGAAATATGAATATATAATATAGATCAAATAATAATTAGTAATAATTGTTATTGTTTTTCATATTGCTAAGATTAAATTAAAAGAAAAAATTTAGAATGAAATAAAGTGAGACAACATAAGGATCATGACAATAAATTTAAGCATGCAATAACAACTTTTAGGATTTTCTTATTAATTTGAGTGACCAAAATAATAATAATAATAAGATAAAGAAAATATATATATACAATTACTTTTTTTTTTTCAAATGGCAAATATATTAATAACTGAAAACTCAAAAGACTACAACCGAAGTGTCAAATGACACATTGGAACCAGAAGACTGGACCAACCTCTCTTGTCATCACACGCAAGTGGGTACAAACTCCATCAAGGAGGCGAACAACCACAACACAAAACTCCAAAAAAGAGACACTAACTCCATATAAGAGAGAAAAGCAGACACAGTTGCACTAAAAGCAGACAAAGTTCCACTAAACGAACAAAAAACACAAGGAAAAAAAAACAACTCACACCAAATATAAAACTAAACCAGAACCTCCCCTACACCTAACAGACCTAACTCCTGACCACCCGAGACTGCACACGAGCCACTTCCACTAGCATAGAGATCCAACAAAGCCACAAACCGGAACTTCAAGCCCGAAAATTTTGACCACTCGTGCCGCCTAGTCGGATCTGATGAAGAGTCTGCTCTCGATTCAAATGTGAACTCCGAAAAACCATCCATGCCGGGGGAGAAAGGGAGCCGCCACTAAGCCATCGAAAATCACGTCGGATAACTCGAAAATGGTCCAATCGCGCAGCCGAGCCGCACCCTTGAACACTACACAAAGAGAACTTGAACCCCGACGCACCGACAACTCGATAGACTCCAGAGGCTGAGGCGTGGCGCGGACGACCGACGACCCTTTCGTGGCTATGGAGATGGCGGATCTGCAGGCTCCAATCCGAGCCATATATATACAATTACTTGTCATAACTTAATTTCGACGTTGCAGGAAGTCTCAGTTCAATTTTTGAAATTCAAAAGTCTCAATTCAAAATTTTTTAAATCTCATTCATTAAGTGAAATTTCGAAATCTAATTTTTAAACATTAAGTGAATATATATATATATATATATATATATAATTGCTGGCAAAGTTCATTAAATTTTATTCAGCTAGCAATTAATAAAAATAGGACTTCATTTAATAATAATCTTTATGACCAGCATTCAAATGACAGTTATGCAAATAAAACTTTATTACTATTAATGTTTTATTCTGTAACGACTTTACAAGATTTTAAATTTTTTGAATATACAATATTAAATTATTTTACAGCTAATATTTCTATTTTCGCTGTGTGCATGTGCACAAGATCGAATATTAGTTTGGTTGTAATGACTACTAACAAATTATGTGTATTTTTAAATAATTGGTTTAGATTCGTTGGACACACAGGGAAAAATTTTTTTCACCCCAATACAAAGATACATTAAGTTTTTCACACCGCTCATTAACAATCTAACTTTTTCACCCCGGAAAGTGCGAAGGTTATGCGAATGGACTACATAACTATCGCATATCAATTGCATAACTGTCTTCACACTTTAACTTTTTTCACCCCAGAAAGTGCGAAGTGATATGCGAATGCCTTCGCACTTCAAACTTTCGCACAATGTCATCGCGCAACTATCGCATATTCATCGCACAATGCCTTTGCACTTTAACTTTTTTCACCCTAGAAAGTGCGAAGGGATATGCGAATGCCTTCGCACTTCTAACTTTCGCACAATGTCATTTCGCAACTATCGCATATTCATCGCACAATGTCTTTCGCTCTTTCTGGGGTGAAAAACTTAGCTTTTTATTGGGCGGTGTGAAAAACTTAGCAGGACTTCAAATGGGGTGAAAATAACTATTTTCACAATCTTATATGTCAATTTTTATATTATTTTTAATGAAAGCAAAATGAAGTTAACGAATCTATTAATATATAAAGAGGCAATGATATTTACTTGAAATAACAAGTAAAAATCAGAAAAAAAAAATATTTGGTTTTCCGCATAAAGTATTTACTATATTGAGTAATATTTTTTGCCAAAATTTGAATCCCGCCTAAATTAATGTACAGAATCATTTTGGTCAAATATTGCGTCTATTACCTTTATTAGTTGCATGGTTTAAATTTGGTATATAATATATTGAAAAAAAATAAAAGATTTTTATTGAAATTTAAAAATAAAAAATAATTATTTATAACTTACGGGTCAATATTAACTTGGATGTAAACGAAATAATCAATTATTATAATTTAATATATTACTCAATAACTTACGGGTTAATATTAACTTAGACGTAAACGAAATAGTCAATTATTGATAGTTCAAGAAATTACTCAACTACTTAATTTTTTTTTATTTGAATAGTATATACAATAATAAATTATTTCAAGTAATGAAACAATATAAATTTTATATTTATACTTATTATTCACCTAGGTTGTTAAATATATGATAACATTTACCAAAATAACTATTTTATGGAATTGCATATAGTCAAATTGATTTTCTGAATAAAATTTTTGAAATGATACTTATTTTGAAACGAATATAATGTAATTTATTATCAGTTATGTGCACCACACGGGTTGTATACTAATTTTAAATAGACATTTTTATGTAATTTGCACAATTAAAATTTTATATAATATTTTTAATAAAATAATATAGGTAAATTTTATTACATATTTATTCTATATTTTTATTTTATAAATATTATTTAATAAAAAATTTTAATTTATAAATGTTAATGAATATCTCTTATTTGTCACTCGTAAAATAAAAAAATAGTGAGTTGAATAGAAAAATAGAGTTTCATAAATAGTTTTCTACTAATTGTCACTTCCCACTCTATGACAAAATAAAAATGTTGGCTTGCATCAATTTCGACTGAGCAACAAAGCTTCTGCTCGGGCGATCGCATCTCATTCCATTGCCTACCGCACACCTGCAAACGGTATTAATATTTCTTCAATTTGGTGGGCGTGGTTAATTCAGTATTTTCATTCTGTATTCGTGAATAGACTTTTGCCTAATTTAAAGTAGACGAAGCTATAGGCAGTGGATATTATTTTTTATTTATTTCTCCTTAATGACATATTAATGCAATATAAAATTTGAAGTATTTTCTTTTGTAAAGTTTACATTTTCCTTCCAACTCGTTTGTGTGCTGTGATCAGTTTGATTCTGGTGAATTGTGAGTTTGGTTATGGAGGGAGGTCTTCCTGAACCTTATAATTTATTGTAGAGCCATATATTAATATATTTGGTGTGAATTGATCTATTATGATCCTTGATGTATGATGCCAGCCAATTCAATTTTTCTTTGCACATAGCAAAATT